GCTTGGAGTGTTAACCTTCTAATGCTTGGAGTGTTAACCTTCTAATGCTTGGAGTGTTCCTTTAAACCTTGCATAAGAACAATGTGGTAATAGAGGTCTGATATAGATATATATATATATATATAAAAGAAAAAGAAAGTACACCCTCTTTGAATTATATGGTTTTACATATCAGGACATAATAACATTATCTGTTCCTTAGCAGGTCTTAAAAATACAATGTCAGATGAGCAACAACACATGACATATTACACCTCGTGATTTATTTAACAAAAATAAAGCCCAAATTGAGAAGCCCTTACTGCTTCAATAGGAATCAAGAGGCTAAGTAGTAGACTGGTGCTGCCAATAAAATGCCTATATAAAAGCCAATGTTTTAGCAGTGTGCTGGTCTGAAACATTCAGGTGTGTGTTAGCACAATGCCAAGTAGGAAAGACGTCAGCAATGTTCTTAGAAAAGCAATAGTTGCTGCCCATTAAACTAGGTGAGAAAGATTATTTAAAAGTGGAAACTCACTTCTACAGTGAGAAAGATTATTTAAAAGTGGAAACCATCAAGACAGTTGAATAAACAGATAACATACCACTAAATATAATACAATGAAAAAATTATCTCCTAAAAAGTGTCCCACCAACACCCTAAAAATATAATACACAAAGTATACAAAAAGTATAATGAAAAAGAGAAACTTTAAATAAGTATAACCATTTGAAAAAAGAGGCATAGACAACCTGTATAAATAATAATAAATACAACCTGATAATAAACCTAAAAACCAAATTGTCACGGTAGTTTACCCCAACTCACAAGATTTAGTCCAACAATTGACAATATAGAGCAGATACGTCTTACCGGACCTTAGAATGGCCGGACTTGACGTAGAGGAGAGAAATACAGAGTCAGGAACGATCCGAGGTCAAGGGTACAAAGAGACAGGGAAAACAAGAACTAGCCAAGGTCTGGTACACAGTAATCAGTAAGCCAGCAAACAAGACAATACAGGGATAAAGAGATAAACGGAGTCTGATACAAAGCCAAGGTCAAGTACGAAAAATCACAACTGAACACAACAAGAGCTAAAGGGAACTGAAACAGAAACCACGATAGTGCAGGGAGTTAACCGGGGGTAAGTATAAATACCCTAACATTTAATTTGATGGGCCCCTGTCATATCCACGCCCCCACAATGTGAGTGTATGGGGAATGTGGGATGACAGGGGCCAATGGGAGACCGTTTTAGTTTTCGGCTCCCACTTCCCCTTTAAGAGTGTGCCGAGACGCGCAGCGCGCTCTTGGAGCTAGGCGGGACACGTGACCACATCCCACGGTCAGTGCCCGCAGTCATGGAGAAGCAGCGGAAATCACTTCCCAGTGGGGGATATCCTGATCTAAGAGGCATCCCGGCAGAGACAGGCACAACCGCACTTCGGCCACCCAAAGCGGGAAACACAGTGACCTAACCAAGATGGCGGAAGCCATGTGCACAGCATAACCCAGACCTCGCAAGCAACCACACTTGACAGAATATTTGAGGACTTTTGGACAAAATGAAACCGCAGACTACAAGCACCCTCCTCGCAGAAGCCGGGCTGTAACTCACCACATGAGTGGCCCCCGAGCACTCAGCTCCCTCCAATGGCAAGGAATCCAGGCCGGCAGCATCTCAACAAACATCCCCCTGCCGCAAAACGCAAGAAAGACCCGGCGGGATTACCGACACTCAAGCGGAGGGGAGGACAGACATGTGCACCAGGCCGTCGGTCACCCACAGCCCAAGTACACGCCAGCACACCTGCGAGACAAGCAGCTACCCGGCACCGGGCAAAAGTACACGCCACTCCAGCAAGATTCCCCCTCTACTTCTGAATCTGTGAAGGGACACTGCAACAGCACGGAAGATACCCTAAGGAGCACCCAGCGAGCTACATATTACACACCAATCTGGTCCAGACCCTGATGGACTTACACACATGGCTCTGGAGACCGTGCAGAAAAGGCGTAGGGTGAAGACTAGCCTGCCGAGGTACTTGTACACTCACTATAGGAGATGGCTACTGCAAATTAATACCTACTACATGCTAAACTGACTGTCTCAATATCTATACTATATACAATGCTAAGCTTATTCAAAGTGCACAGGATTTATCATATGTATCGTTATATCCATTGTGTTGCTAGCCTAGCCTAATTATATTCGACATATATTGTAAAAATAATGCTGCTTCTTTCCTCACATGAATTTATCAACCTAACTTTCACACTCGTCTTAATGGTTAAGTAACATGTCCAGAAGAAATAAACACTTAACTTGCTCACTAGCTCACAACAGACACGCAGCATACTACTTTTGTCTATACTGTTGTTTTAATCTCATATATTACTAAAATGTGCAATCTACTCAAAATGCTGACCAACTGTTATGTTATATATGTTAAGTTTAATACCGTACTTGCACATGATGTTGGGGCATTGCAGGACCAGCTATGTTACTTTCTTGCATGACTAAAATAAAAAATTGCAACAAAAAAAAACAGCACATGTAATTCAAAGTTGCATTTACAGACATAAACATAGACATTACAGACATAAACATAGACATTACAGACATATTTATTATTATTTATAGAGGTTGTCTATACCTCTATATCTCTTTTTTCACATGGTTATACTTATTTAAGGTTTCTCCTTTTCGTTATACGTTTTGTATACTTTGTGCAGTCAAGACAGTTGCCAATCTTCCCAGTAGTAGATGTCCCAGCTCAGACCGTGCAATGCTCATAGAAATTACAAAAACCCAAGAGTTACATCTCAGACTCCACAGGCCTCAGTTAGTTAATAAAACAAAATATACAAAAAGTAGATAGTTGTGTAGGCGCTTCCAACCTTAAATATAGACAATACAAGTGAGTGTGAAAAAGAGGTGTAATCCCTTAACACCTGAAGACAAAGTAAAAAGATTAGATAGATTCACACACACTCAAAGATATATACAAAATATATACAAAATAGGTATACCACCTATTGTAGATGTAGGTATGGTGATTACATCTGTAAAACAAATGGAACATACATAGTGCTTTCCATATAAGTTAAAACAAACAATCTATAGTATATGAGGATTAAACTCACAAAGATGGAGCCTCATAGGCTCTATGTGCATCACCCTTGGGTGCCTATTCAGGCTCTCAGTAAACTTCTGTTGAAGAACTCGAGGTCCACGATTACAAATGTAAATACAAATTTATTTAGTAATAATAGTAAAATATTAATATCTAGGGACAAGGTAAGGCAGGTATAAAAATAGAATATAGCACAATATTGCACCGCAATTATGGCCAAAAATAAAAGCAGTAGAATACTACAACATATAAACAGTGAAATAATACAGCCAAATAGGAAAAGTCCCAATACTTTTTTACTCTACAAACCTGTGCCCTAATGAATCTAACATAGAAACATAGAAACATAGAAACATAGAATGTGACGGCAGATAAGAACCATTCGGCCCATCTAGTCTGCCCAATTTTCTAAAAACTTTCATTAGTCCCTAGCCTTATCTTATATTAGGATAGCCTTATGCCTATCCCATGCATGCTTAAACTCCTTTACTGTGTTAACCTCTACCACTTCAGCTGGAAGGCTATTCCATGCATCCACTACCCTCTCAGTAAAGTAATACTTCCTGATATTATTTTTAAACCTTTGTCCCTCTAATTTAAGACTATGTCCTCTTGTTGTGGTAGTTTTTCTTCTTTTAAATATAGTCTCCTCCTTTACTGTGTTGATTCCCTTTATATATTTAAATGTTTCTATCATATCCCCCCTGTCTCGTCTTTCCTCCAAGCTATACATGTTAAGATCCTTTAACCTTTCCTGGTAAGTTTTATCCCGCAATCCATGAACCAGTTTAGTAGCCCTTCTCTGAACCCTCTCTAAGGTATCAATATCCTTCTGAAGATACGGTCTCCAGTACTGTGTACAATACTCCAAGTGAGGTCTCACCAGTGTTCTGTACAATGGCATGAGCACTTCCCTCTTTCTACTGCTAATACCTCTCCCTATACAACCAAGCATTCTGCTAGCATTTCCTGCTGCTCTATTACATTGTCTGCCTACCTTTAAGTCATCAGAAATAATCACCCCTAAATCCCTTTCCTCAGATGTTGAGGTTAGGACTCTATCAAATATTCTGTACTCTGCCCTTGGGTTTTTACGTCCAAGATGCATTATCTTGCACTTATCCACATTAAAGGTCAGTTGCCACAATTCTGACCATTTTTCTAGTTTACCTAAATCATTTGCCATTTGGCTTATCCCTCCTGGAACATCAACCCTGTTACATATCTTAGTATCATCAGCAAAAAGACATACCTTACCATCAAGACCTTCTGCAATATCACTAATAAAAATATTAAAGAGAATGGGTCCAAGTACAGATCCCTGAGGTACCCCACTGGTGACAAGTCCAAGCTTTGAATATATTCCATTAACTACAACCCTCTGTTGCCTGTTACTCAGCCACTGCCTTACCCATTCAACAATATTTGAATCCAAACTTAAAGATTGCAGTTTATTGATAACTAACTAACTTACCAACTACCAGTCAAGCTTCATCTGTTTCAAATAAAACAGAGCATAAAAAGCTTAAAGACAAACTGGGTATACCTATTGTGTTCTTGGAGAAGGCACAGATCTAAAAACAATTTTGATGCTACTGTGGGTTCAGCACCTGCAGGCTGTTGAATGTCTGTTCTGTTTGTTTTAGAACACATGCTAGAACCATGTGCCCAAATCAGTTATTTCCAAAACAATCGTAGTTAACGTTCATAATGTGATGTTTTACTGATGCAAACACCCCTCCACACACTTAGTGGACTTCCTACACTGAACCAAATTACAAATGCCCCCATTTTTCATGAGCTGAACTCAAAGATCTAAGACTTTTTCTATGTACACAAAAGGCCTATTTCTCTCAAATATTGTTCACAAATCTGTCTAAATCTGTGTTAGTGAGCACTTCTCCTTTGCCGAGATAATCCATCCATCTCACAGGTGTGGCATATTAAGATGTTGATTAGACAGCACGATTATTGCAAAGGTGTACCTTAGGCTGGCCACAATAAAAGGCCACTCTAAAATGTGATGGATTATCTCGGCAAAGGAGAAGTGCTCACTAACAAAGATTTAGACAGATTTGTGAAAAATATTTGAGAAAAATAGGCCTTTTGTGTACATAGAAAAAGTCTTAGATCTATGAGTTCAGCTCATGAAAAATGGGGGCAAAAACTAAAGTGTTGCGTTTATAATTTTGTTCAGTGTAATTTCTAGGTTCTCAGAAGGTTTTCACACGGAGCTTATCTTAATACCTACAGGAATACTAGACTGTGACAATTTGCAGTCAGCCATCAACAAATCATTCACAGCAGATGTACTGCTTCATAAGAAATTACACAATGGCTTTATGCTAGGACATTGCAGTCTCTACATGTGCAATGATCGATTGGCATAGCCACAAGCCACTTTGCCACTGGGCTTACCTTTGGGACAAAAAGCAGCCCATATCTTTGATATCTTGATACCTTTTCAAAAACCCTCTGCTGGATCCTTCTTAAAGTACAGGTATTCGGTGGGGATCAATTACTTAGATGATTTTCTAATCATCAAAAGGGGTGACACCATTCCGCAAAGTATTAATCATACTACTAGTTTGTTCTCAGTGTTAAGAGTGATGCTTTTCCAGGATAAGACCAAATATCCCACCACTAGTTTGACCTTTTTAGGAATTCAACTGGACTCTAAGTCAATGACTAGGGCCTCGTTCCGCGGTGAATAAATAGTTAATTAACCATTTATTTGCTTACCTTAATTAAGCGCGGGCTTCCTCTTCTCCTCCATCGACGTCCGCTTCCAAGTGGAGCCGAATGCCCATGCACTACCAGAGGTGTGCGCACAATCAAACCCGCTCATAGGAAAGTATTACTCAATGCTTTCCTATGGGGATCTTTTTTGACACTGGACTCCGTGAGGACGTCCTGCGTCAAATGAGTGTGATTTACTTACGTGTAAATTTCGGAAGCGGCCTCTAGTGGCTATCAGGGAGACAGCCACTAGAGGCTGGATTAACCCTGCAGTATTTTCAGCTGCAGGGTTAAAACTAGGGGGATCTGGCTATTAGTGTTTTGTTTTGCTACCTTGTAACAGTATATCCATAGGTGGGGATTATACCACCGATGCTGTTTTAACTAGAGCAAGTCTTGCTCTAGCAAATGTAAGTACATTACTTCTTATTTAATTTTATTTATCAGTACTTACTATACCATTGGAGTTTTCTTGCGTTTTCTTTGCCTCCATATATACCACGCATACCTGCATTTTATTTGAAGCACCGGCACCGCCTATACCATCATACATCCTTAGACGGGATTATACCAACCACGCGAATTACAGCAGAGCTCTTAGATAGCTCAATCAAATGTGAGTGGTCCCTGGGTCTGGAGACCATGCAGAAAAGGCGTAGGGTGAAGACTAGCCTGCCGAGGGACTTGTTCACTCACTATAGGAGATGGCTACTGCAAATTAATACCTACTACATGCTAAACTGACTGTCTCAATATCTATACTATATACAATGCTAAGCTTATTCAAAGTGCACAGGATTTATCATATGTATCGTTATATCCATTGTGTTGCTAGCCTAGCCTAATTATATTCGACATATATTGTAAAAATAATGCTGCTTCTTTCCTCACATGAATTTATCAACCTAACTTTCACACTCGTCTTAATGGTTAAGTAACATGTCCAGAAGAAATAAACACTTAACTTGCTCACTAGCTCACAACAGACACGCAGCATACTACTTTTGTCTATACTGTTGTTTTAATCTCATATATTACTAAAATGTGCAATCTACTCAAAATGCTGACCAACTGTTATGTTATATATGTTAAGTTTAATACCGTACTTGCACATGATGTTGGGGCATTGCAGGACCAGCTATGTTACTTTCTTGCATGACTAAAATAAAAAATTGCAACAAAAAAAAACAGCACATGTAATTCAAAGTTGCATTTACAGACATAAACATAGACATTACAGACATAAACATAGACATTACAGACATATTTATTATTATTTATAGAGGTTGTCTATACCTCTATACCTCTTTTTTCACATGGTTATACTTATTTAAGGTTTCTCCTTTTCGTTATACGTTTTGTATACTTTGTGCAGTCAAGACAGTTGCCAATCTTCCCAGTAGTAGATGTCCCAGCTCAGACCGTGCGATGCTCATAGAAATTACAAAAACCCAAGAGTTACATCTCAGACTCCACAGGCCTCGGTTTACAAACCCTTCGGTTAACATAATTTTCGGTTTACAAATAAAAATCCATTGAAAATAATGCCTCGGTTTACAATTTTTTTTCGCAATACAAAGCAAGTTTCCCCAGGAAACACCTGGGAGGTTTGTAGCACCGCCCCCTGCATGGTGGAGCCGGTGGGTAGCACGTGGTGTCGAGTGTCGAGGTGTTGGAGCGGTTTTTGCATTGAGTTTTAAAGCCATTCTGGAAATAGTTTGCAGTTGTTTTAGGACTTTTTGGTGCATTTCTCAAGCGGTTTAAAGGTAGCTGATCTTCGTCGTTTGTATGCCTTTTATTGTGTGTTCTGCATTGTGGGTTGGTTTCCATGCCAGCTCATTTTTTTTTTCTGACCTCCAGAATGGATTAATTGGTTTTCAATGCATTCCTATGGGAAACCGCATTTCGGTTTAGAAATTTTTCGCAATAAGAAATGTCCTGGAGAATGCATTCAATTTGTAAACTGAGGTCCCACTGTAGTTGCTATTTGTATAATCTGTACCTTATCATATTGTACTATACCATTATTGTTTTTTCTATTATTCTGAGGTCCAAAGTATTGTACCCCCTGAAGATCTATGTACGTATAAATTTTGGGCGCAGTATACAGCATAAACCTTTCTTATCGACAATTTTATGCCCCCCAACCATCAGGCCTGTAAAATGTTTATGATGAAGGGACGTTAGGATTTTTTAAGGTTTTGTCCCTTTCACCTACGGCCTTTTTTTCCTGTATATACTTTTTTTTCCTTTCCTTTTTTTTTTGGGGGGGTGGGGGGTGTTTTCCATATCCTTTTTTCTTTTTTGAATTTTTTTCTTTTGATGGCCCTCCAACCAAATCCACTAATGCATTATTTTTCTTTTTAGATGTTGTTTAAATGCAACGGGATTACGCAGTGATCAATCTATTGTATGTTGTATACTTCCACCATTGATATCTAGACCACATTATGTATACTTATATGGAGTGGGACTATCTAATTATTTTAGCAATTTTGTGATTGTTTTTTTAATTTATTTTGTGTGCCCCTTAATGTATTTTCCCTTTCCCCCTTGTTATACTGATGTTATATAAAGCAAAAACTTTTAAATAAAAAACGTTTGAAAAAAATGGGTGAATAAAAATTAAGACAAATTGGGGGACCTACATAAAGCTCCCTGTCTTCTGCTCCCAGTGAGATGACAACCATCGCTGAACATGACACTTTGTTTTGGGCTGAAGCCCAGGTGGTTTTGGAACCAAGCAACCCCTGCTGTTGAAATCCTGTTGGCTTGTAAAATTATGTTAATTATGCACGTTTACCCACAATACAATTTCAAACATAATTTGGTTCTTGAAGGAACACTCTAATGTTATAAAATAAAAATATGAATTAATAACATTAGTGTTCCACTGGTCCCATTTAGACTTACGGACCCCCTTGTGGCGAAAGTGATCTCGCCACTGGTTTTTGGAGGGGCCTGTTTGCCAGCCTCCTGCCCTGCGACTATGGCCCTAGGATGTAATGCCCTTCTAGGAACTGATTTGGGCATATTGTATTTTATTATGCTGCTGCTGGCCCTTTAAGAACCATCTGGGGACATACTGTGGAGTTACTGGGTGGCCACCATTTCATGTATCAGAGGCACATAGTGAGAACAATGGATGAAGCACAGGGTGAGAACAATGGATGGCGGCCATTTTAACTCACAGACACTGTTTTGACTTTTCTACACGGTGCCATCTCGACGGTATTTGGTGCACAGAAACTACAGAACAGGGGACACATTTAACAGTAATTATTTTTCATATAGCCTGTATATGTTCTGCGGAATCTGCATTAAACCGTATCTTCCAAACTACTGAACGGATCTGGGTGAATTTTGGATATGTGGTTCACCCAGATCCCCGGGTTCCGAGGATATATTTTATGGGGTTATAGCATGTTTTGGGGTCTCTGTGATATGTTTTATAATACTGTATTTCTCTGCCTGTGATAATTATATTAACCATTGTGTTCAGTAATCATATCACAGGCAGAGGGGAGGATTTTGTGTGGGAGTGTCTGTGTGTATTGTATGGATTGATTGGTTGTATTTCAAAACCCTGTGGGCAGTACTATGTTTGTAGAATGTGAATAAAAGAGGCTGTATGTGCCCATACAGTCAGTTCTACTTCACCCTCAATTTGGAGTGCCGTCTCTTATTGGGGGAATCTGCTACAAGGGATTGCCATGCTTGTCATACTCCCTTGCTAAATCACTACTAAGCTCTTGTAAGAGCATGTTCCTGTTTTGCTCGCTGAAGGAGTCTATGGTGATTATGGTGTCTGCTGCAGTGCTTGGAGTCCTCAGGAAGCACTAGGAGTATCCTTCAATGGAGGTACCCAGTCAGGGTACCCGTCGATCCCTTACACCCCTGTATAAACTATATTAATAATGTTAAAGGCACTATGAATCCAGTCTTGCAGTGACCGCCGCCACTCCATCTACGGATGAGCTCATCTGAAAGGGTGGATGATCTTGACCAGCCAAATGGTTCTCCATACAAACATATTGGTGGCCATACTGTGCATGTGTGACAACTGATGCACTATGCCAATAAGATTAATCTCATAAACAAGCATTATACTGCTACCCTTATGTCCCTCTCTCTATGTCCCTCTTACAGGGAAAGCCTTGTATGGTAAAAATGGGACAAGAACATGCCAGACCTTCCAAAGGCTATTTAGCTTGTGATATTGTTAAGGAGAGAGCAGGAGAAGAGGCTATGTTAAAGATAAAGAAGATAGCAAAGATTTGTGGTTTTCAAATGTCACCAGTGGTAGATTACAGCCAGGGTTTTGAA